AATTTGATATTTCAAAATGGTGGCCAAAAGTGCATTCTATTCTACTAGGTATATAAAAGAAGATCTGATTATAAAAATATTATTGAAAATAACGAAACACCCGTATTTAAAAAAAATGAGCCGACTCCGCAATATTTTTGCTGCGTTGGCTCAGAACATTCATTGGTTCTTGAATTCATTGACTTGTTCCCTATAAATGTTATACGTTTTATATGACTGTCTCTGTTCAGCGCATCAGTATTTTTTTATTCATATGTTTACGGACCAAATAGCTGTGTTGATGTTTTTGTTGTTTGCTTTACGCTCGTCTACGTTGTCTGTTCGTGTGAAATAAGCGTACTGCTGTAGCAATGATGTAGCAGTGTTTATATGGCTACTAATACCCACAGCTTGAATTTTCAGCTGGTGAATTTCTTGGATTTAGAATAAGAGTGAAAGAAAAGAATGTATAATCGTACACCAAACTCGACTCTTGCACTCTCATGTGAGGTCATGATAGAAGCGGTGTTACGTCGTCTCATGTAATAAATGTAGCTGAAAATGAAGGCCGCTGCTACTAGCAGCCATATACTAAACACTCATGTTTAAAGTGAAGACTGTAGTAAACTTGATAGAGTTGTACAACCATCAGACGGAGTCTTACAACCGTTCGATGCGGTGGTGTATTTGGTGCTGCCTTCGTGTGCTCAATTCGAATTTTGAATTTGTGTCTTCAGCGATCTATCGCAATTTTTCGAATGTATTCGATTAATGTTAATTAAAAAAAATTCCACGGAATTAATTGCAAAAACTAATAGAAACGAATATTTTTGCAATTTTTTTTTTCCAAATATTTTCTCCGAAATTGTTTGGAAATATAAGAGTACGTAAATATTGATTGTAAAGTTCGATAAACTGTTTCAGGTTTTTCTTTTGTATGAATATTAAAAAGTGGTACTTTGCGACAGATAACAAAGTGTTGTGTTAACGATTTGCTCATTCTTCTGTTTATTCACATGGTGTTTGCATAAATCATTTTGATTTAACTAAATATGTACAAATATATTCAGTGGTATTAGGTTGATTGCGTATTCTAACTCACGAAAGCCGACTATTTAAATAAAACATCCACATTTTTTCAAAAAGTCTCGACATGAATTGCCAATTCGTTTGATTTTGATTACACTCTTCTTTTTTTTGGAGAGTTCACGATTCAAATATCGACTTTGGCGAAATAAATGATTCTCATTCCATTTACCGTCTTTGTTATATACACTTCTTCTTCTCTTTAAATTCGCAAAAACTAAAGTTCAGCTGAAATACACTTAACAATGCTACATTCTTACGTAAGCATACACTTCGATCATGGACCAAAACCCATCCAGTCTTATTGCCAAAATATGGAAAATCGTATAATCTCGTTGAGCTTGAATTTTATTTGCAAACTACTACCTCGTGCCAGTGCGAATACAATAAATAAAACGCTATCGTCATTCATTTATCTGTGCGCGATAATAAAGAAAAGAGTAGAAGGAGAAATACATACTCCATGTATTTGAAATAAGATAAAACCAATTTGGATGAAGTTCGATTGTATTGTTTGATAGAAACATTCATGTGGTAACCGAATGAAAAAAATAAACTTATTTGGAAGCATAAGCGCGCGATTTAATAAATTTGCATAGTTTTTCGATTTCATTCATTTCTCATTCTTATTTACATTTGTCGATTGGAACGCGTCGCATTTCTTTATCAACATTTATTTATGGATTGTGTACACATGTGTGAATTAATTGGTTTTTTGCCTTGTCGACGCATTTTCCTATGCATATTGTTCCTCGATAATCGATTGACTGAAATTCAGTAAAATTTGCGTTTTATATTTACAAAAGTCTCCAACAGTACATTTGCAATACTTTCAATTGTGTCCCGAACGCAATGCGAAAGAGGCAAAACAACAACGAAAATTCGATAACAAATTTGATTAAAGTTTTGCAATCATTTTTTAGATTTATTCGTGCTCTTGACGTCAAATTCTTTACGGTCAAAAAGCAATTGCCTTATTTAACAATAAATATAATACAAATAAGTTCGTTTCCATATAAAATTCCAAGAAAGAATAAAATTCTAAAACCGTGACGCCAGTTAAGTGATCCAAATTTCATGTCAAATAAATAACAATAGATTTGTGGCAAACACCGAATCGAACGTGATCATTTGTATTCAATGCAATATTACACAATCGATATTATACGACTTGTGCAATTCGTGATTAGTGTCAATAAATATGAAAAAGAAAAAAAAACATTTCTACCATATTCATATTGATTATTATCTCATCATTTTCTTCTATTTCTGAATTTGCAGATGTAAATAACGCCACTCCAAACGGCCAACGCATAAATTATAAATGAATGAGTTGGTGTCCCTCATCGATGTCAATGAATTCTCAAACGTGTTCATTATACTGTCCCAACGTAAACTGATACTTATCAAGTGAGCGTGTAATTTGAAATTGACTACTTCAACAATTTCGTGTGTGCTTTATATGCAAATTTCTGCCAATCAAAAGACATATAAGTGTTATTGGAGGTGTTTATTCCGAAAAATATGATTTTTTTTTGTTTTTGAGAAAAAAAAAGTGAAATGAAATGAATTTTTGTGTGATCAACTTGATATTTCCTTAAAAGAATGAAAACATTTCGAATGACATTCAAATGATAATGACGATGGTGTTCAAACGAAATTCGTGCACATTGATTGAACATAATTTATATCTAACGTAAAACGTTAAACGAAAACAAAAGGATACTTAGTGATTATAAAACGAAGACCGTAACACTGTATATATTCTGCAGAGCCAACGCCAGAACTGCAAATACGCAACGTAAATAAATATGCAGGCCAAACATAACCCGAATCGAATTCACTTAATGTGTGCAAGCATGAAATCCACAGAAAATAAATTGGTAATGTCACAGCGAAGGTGTCACGGTGGTTTTTGTCACGTATTTCCAGTTAGCCACAGTACATTTAAGTCATTGTTACTCATTGGATTTCTGCTGGTTGCATTTAATTGCTGTGTCAACGACACTGTGGCATTCAATTTGGAAAATCGGTTGCCAATTGTAAAGTATGGCGATGCCGATACATATTTTGGTTATTCTGTAGCCGGTCATGAAATTGGCGACGATGAAGACGACAATCCAACAGTGAAATGGTGAGTCATTTATTAATTACAATTCGCATTCTTAATTTCACCATCAATTATATCAATTGACTGAATAGATTCTTTTCTCGGCGTTTATCAGTTTAACGTTCGCAGAATTTCATACTTAGAGCCACGCATAGAGTCGCCGATCAATCATAGCATTGTTGTTTCAATTTCCGGCATTCAGAATTAATTATCAATTTCAGTGCTACATTGAGATTTATTCGTTTCTTCATACATTATTCATAAATCACGCATTTCAAACCGATATTTTCTTTTCCATCTAAACAAAATATGAGAGCATCATCAGAATGTGTCTTATAACTTTTCGATCGATGGAACAATTTCTAAAATTAGAAAATTTGAATAAAAATGCCATTTCTCATAAGTTCTTTTATGATTCACTTTCCAAACCGCATCGAATTGGATCCTCTGTTTTTTTTTTCGGTTGGGTATGAGTATGAGAATCCATTATTTTTATTGCATTTTTCTCGCCGTCTCTCCACTCCATTTCACTGCTGAACTATATTCACTTACCCTATCGTTAATCGATGAATGTGCGTTGTGCGACAGCATCGTTTGGGTCCCCTCGCCTGCTGCCTGTTTGAGTCATCAAACGAAATCGTTTCACTGAGACCGGCAAATGAATCAGCGCATAGCTGCATTTTAATAGCCAAAAACTAAATACAAATGAAAATGTAATAAGCAGAATAAATAAAACCAATTGATATTCTTTCATCTGGCGTTTAAAGATGTAATGTGTTTATGTTTCGACCATTATTACTATTATGACACTCTCTGAACACAACACTCGACAATTTCTCGAGTATTTCATTCATTTTGCTGGAATTCTTTGTCAAAATCAATAAGAAATTAAAGGGGAAACACCGCCTTCCTCGTTTTTCTTTGTGCAATACTTTATCGAATAAAAAGTGTCACACAAGCAGCACTCGCTTTTTTTTCGGTCGCCAAAAACAATTGTGAATATAGTGTGAATTTGTCTGGAGCCAGCATTTTATGCGAACACACTTTCATTGTTATTTTTATAATACTGAATGCAATACAAAAATGTGTATAAATCGGTAAATCACATCCGGTCGTGAATGCACAACAGAAACAAAATAAATCAAGACGTTTTCATTTTTATTTCAAATGTATGTGACTATTTTGAACAAAACAAACTCCAAAACCTTCAAATTCGGAATATATATCCATAAATAATGCGGCATTTGAATTCAACCAGACAGCTTGGTGCATTCTATTGAATGAAGACGCATTGAGAAAACTCTGTTACGCATCTCGCCTCCATTCTAATGAGATTAATCTTTGAGTAAATGTAAACAGAAAATTTTGAATCGCTTAAGTAGCCGTTCGACAATCCAGTAGCCGTTCAACAGCCATTGTTGCTGCTAGCATTTATCATCGTAATTATATTATATAGATCTATGGCCGGGATCAATAGATTATGTATAAAATCTTATTCTATTGCATTGTCGTCCAAGCGCAAAACCGACTATGAGAGAAGACCCAATTTCATTAGTTAGATGGCAAGAAGAGGCATACGCATTCTCTTTTTACAAAATTAATTTGAATGTGTGGTCTATTGGGTCTACCGTATTTCACGATTTTTATAAACCACGCTCTTCTCTTCTTTGATTTTGCTGAACCAAGTCCACATTAACCGACTAAAGTGATTATTTATATATATTGTTCCGTATGATTTTTAACCAACATATTGATGTTGTGCAGTGTTTTTTTTAAAGCGAAACGTGTTTTATTATAAACACATACCGAAGAAGCACACAACAATGTGGTAGAAGAAATAAAAAAAAATACCGTTTATATGGTTACGTTCACGTTCAAATGCATAAACTCAATATCTATTCACCTTTTTAAAACATCTTGCCATTTATCGGACGAGGAAGAAAGCCGGCTACAGCATATCCGTATATTATATATAAAAAAAAGATTTTGAATTCGTTAGAGCATGCAGTGGACGTTGATGTCGATTCTGTTGTTACTAACACGCTTAAGCGCATTTAACTGCATGTTTCTTTTCCACAAACGAATTGTGTGCTGTATTCATCTAGTTTGTTGTTTACAATTTACATCAAACACTGAAACACCGACAAGGTAACAAAAGACAGAGAGACCAGACAACGGACGATTTGTATCACACAAACCGATGCCTTTCTTACCTTTTCTTCGCTCGTGCTATAACATAACAATCAGTTCGGTATTGTCCGATTAGAAATAGAACAAAAAAAACCGAGAAATATTGTATCGAGATCGTACGGTGGTGGGGCCGGTTTTGCGACGTTAGTTACAACTTGAGAAGTTTTGTCAAACATGTGCGAGCACTACAATGCATATTGATACTGGAAGATTGCAATCAGCGACATGTTGAATCGTCATAGTTGAATCAGTTCTCTACAGTCTAGTCTTGCAACAGACGCTGTTTATATAATGCCAATTAAAGTTGTTGGTGTTCCTTCTACTTCCATACAATATACCTATACACTGTGTATATGTTGGTTTTTTTTCTACTTATTTATTCACTTGGAATAGAGAAAGCGACGATAATCATTGATCAATGCACTGAATTTGCCATGATTCAGTCTCCAAAGTCTTTGTAAACGCTGTTGTTGAGAACTTAAAGCGAAAAAAAAACAGAACGATTTTATGTGAAAAATCAGTAGAAGAAGAAGAAAAAAAACGACGTACTACCATTTTGTATTCTGAAAGAAACACAAAGTAAATAACCGTCCATTCACTCTATTTATGTTTGTCTAGTAGTTAGACGTTTTGTTGGTTCTATATGTGATTTGATGGCTTTTTACATGGAATTCTTTATTGTGGTCCAAGTTTTATTTGTGTTTTTTGGTTTTTCTGTTGAAAAACACACAAAAAGCAAATAACAATTGATGTTTAACTAAATACACAATTATTTTGTTCGAAAATCCTTGGAAAGCGATAAAGAGACATACACCGAAATCGATATATATCGAACAGATGCATGCGGTGATTTGCACTTTGGGCACCATTTCACCGATTATAATAATAATAATAACATCGAACGATATACTTGAGCAAAATGATGCAAAAACAATGTGTATTCTCAAGCTAAAGTATATTCTCAAGTTGAAGTATATCAAGCTGAAGTGCATACCCCGAGCTAAATATTCGATACTTGTTCACAAATGATTTACAGCACAACTCTCTTCGTCGTCGCTTTTTCTCTTTATATATGCATCGTTATTGAAATTAATATTTACTTATCCCATTTTTCATCGAAGAAATTTAACACATACATGTGGAAAAAAGAATGCTTTTGTGTCTACAGACCGGCTTCTACTGATTGCACATCGTTTATAATTGTAATTAGCACGTATGGTTAAGCGTCAAATGTGCGGTCTTGTAAATACATAACACACATTTTACTTCTGGTTTCGAACGCGAAATGAATACAATTCCATTGTGTTAATTTCCATTCTTAGAACAAAACGAAGAAAGTCAGACAGAAATTCGTTCGGTTGTTAAAAGTGTTCGCTTGATTTTTAATGACGAAAACCGAATGGTTTTAAATTATGTTTCGACTTTCCATACTCCGCCATGGATTTCGATGCATATTATATTCATGAATCTGAAGATATGTAAAATAAGGTTCATTCTGATGCTCTCGTAAGATTAAAAGACCATGTGAGTGTTTATAAGTTGTGCCTTCCTCTTCACCACGCATATCTGTCTAAACTGTTGCTGTTCTCTCTTAAAAACAGAAAATCGAATTGCCACACAACACAGGATCGAATATAAAATGCGATTCTGTTGATATGTTCTAAAGGCGTTTTGCATTCGAACCGCGGTTGAGTTTGAGAAGAGTCTGTTGTCAAGAATGGCGACATGAAATGATAATTTTCTCTTTTTTTTTGTAATTTTCCAAATATAATGAATAGTTGCGATAATGTTGCGACATGCCAATCATGTCAAATGAATATCGCTATTAAAACGATACTCATCGATTGCACATGTAAATTATTGCATAAACATTCTTTTAACTTATGCGAAAAATATAATAACAGAGAACACAAAATAACTGGCTTGTATCTATCCGGTACATCTGGTTTAAAAAAACACAACAACGTTTTACAAGCAAACGCGTGGGTGGTTTTAGATGAAACATTTCGACTATTATAACTGCTGCATAACATTTTTCTATGGTCGTTAATTTGCTTTTTTTTGTCAAGAAAAACAAAATTATGTACACAAAACTGGCGTTCCGTTAAAAAAAAACAATGTACATTCAAATGCAATGGTGTTGATTTTTTTTTAAATCGACGCGATTTTGGTAATTTGAGTAAACGTCAGACTAAACAAAGCTACAAAAGATGTATGCAACACCTTCGGCATCATTGAAAATTAAAAATGTAAAAAACTAAAGAACCGAGTGATAAAAAGAGACAAGAAAAATTCAAGTGAAGTGTATTCTATGCACAAATCATGCCACAATGCACTTGTCGACTTGTCGCAATCCAGCCTCACAACATCCAAAGGTTCTTCTTCGTTTTTCTTTTTGTTCTCTCGCATTCTCAATTGCCCACGTCGTCGTCGTCGTTGAAAAGTTACTGTAAAAATTAAATGCTGCATGGCAATAAAGCCGTTGTTATTTTATCACATCTTATATTACCTTTGCGCTGTTGTCTATCCGCCCGTTTTTGGTGTGTGTGTGTGTGTCGTTTTCGGCTTTTGTTCCAATTCTTTGAATGGGATCGATTTTCATGAAGTTTTTTTTTATTAACGAAACAAAATTCCTTCGTTAGTATGTTTTTTTTTCGTTCTTTTCATTTAAACACGGCGAACTTATGTTGTATTCACATTTAATGAGCAAACATGTTGGCTGCGTGTCGTTATGTACGTAGGTATGAAACATCACATGGTAAACTGGTGGTGTCCAAAGAGTATGCGAGTACGCATTAAGATGCCGTCTTGCGGTGCAGTACAAGATTTTCATT